AATTATATATAGGATTTTCATCACGAACTGATATCAGCTATCATGCCAGAAATTTATTTAGCCAAATGGACGAAAGGCTTCCATGCCAAAATCCGAGATCTACTATCTTATACATGATGTTCACACACTCACACACACAAAGCCTTTAAAATGGATCTTACAGGAGGTGTTATTCCATTCAAAACATCAGTGACAAATGTTGTGTAAACGAATTATTCTTTTCGAAATTAACGTTAGATAAAGAGAAGAGTCTATTTAACCTGAAGGGACAAAAGGTATGATACTTTACTAGACTAGTTTCTCACGCGAGACCAAGTTGGTCACATTCAAATCCTTCCTACACCTCCTAATACCTCTCTCATCTCCATGACTAACCCTCCTCACGTCTCTTTATCACATCGCACCGGTAGGGCAAACGATTCGAGTACGTGGAACGCTATGCCTGGTCTCCTGAAACAACGCTCTAAACTACACATAGGAGCTTCTAACGTCCGAACACTGTGCCAAATAGGACAGCAGGCTTCCTTAGCTAGGACTTTAGAATCTCGCGCCATCGATGTGTGCTGCGTCTCCGAAACGCGCATACAGGATCCAAGTAGCATCATTCATTTGACCTCACCATGCCAAAATAAAGAACCGACTCGATTCACGCTTCGCGTATCTGGAAGCCCTGATTCTGCTTCCCGTGGCCTCGCCGGCGTCGGTAAAGCATTGAGTCCTAGGGCAGAACTAGCTCTCTTTGAGTGGATACCAGTAGACAGCCGTTTGTGCGCTGTCCGACTGAACGAAACAGTAAGAATCCGGAAAGATAGGGACACTCGTCGTTACCTCTTCGTCGTTTCTGCCTATTCTCCCACTGACTGCAGCCCAGATGATGTAAAAGATGAGTTTTACAGAAAGCTTTTCGACCTTCTCCGAAAAGCTAGGCGCCGGATGTAGTAATAGTGGCCGGTGACTTTAATGCCCAAGTAGGTAAACTAAGTGATAGGGAAAGACACCTAGGTGGATCTTATGGTGTCGTGGCTCAAAGAACAGATAATGGCGACCGTCTGTTGCAGCTATGCTCAGATAATCGCCTGTTCCTTGCAAATACTAACTTTAAGCATAAGGAAAAACATCTTTTAACATGGCGACCCCCTAATTCGTCCCAACGTTGGACCCAAATATATCACATCGCCATCAGCCACCGATGGAGGGGCTCCATAGAAGACTGTCGCTCATTCTGGAGCACACGCTTAAATTCAGATCATGCTCTGGTGCGAGCGCGTATTTGCTTGCGTCTTACTGGACATAAGAAAGACGCTGCAAGGAAACCTCTTAGGTGCCTACTTAATGATAGCCAAGCTAAGAGTATATTTCGGGAACAACTAGGAAAACAGTTAGGCAGCCATGTATGTGTTGCCCACCCCGATGCAGCATGGATTGATATCCGAAAAGCTGTGGAAACAGCAGTGATATCTGCTAGTAAACCAGAAGGCTAGGGAGCAACACTGGATCTCAGCAGCATCTATCGCACTGATAGATGTTCGGAAACTCATTCCACCTGGCTCTGAACATAGTGAAGAGCGGAGTCAGCTCAAGCGCAAGCTGACAAGAAGTCTACGCAATGATCGCGAACAGTGGTGGGTAGCGAAAGCAAGAGAGATGGAAAAGGCAACGGCAATAGGTAATAGCAGACAATTGTTTAGACTCGTTAAGGAAACCGGAATTAGGAACCCGACTGTTAGCGAAACAATCTCAGAGAAAGATGGACATATTATTCATTCTCAATCCAGGAGATTGGATCGATGGGCAGAACACTTTAGGGATCAGTTCAACTGGCCTTCAGCCACACTTCGGTTTCCCACGATCTCCAGTCAACCTGAATGGCAAGTTAATGTAGGTCCTCCGTCTCTTTATGAAGTTGAAAAAGCCATAGGAAATCTGAAACGAGTGAGAGCAGCAGGCCCTGACAGGTTTACTCCTGAGATTTTTAAGGATGGTGGTCCAGTATTAGCAATGAGATTAACCGAGGTCTTAGATAGAATTTGGGAACTGGACGTAATCCCATCTGACTGGTCTCAATCACTGATTGTGCCAGTCTATAAGAAAGGACAAAAGTCCTCTTGTGACAATCACAGAGGAATCAGTTTGACTAATATAGTGTCTAAAATATTAGCTTCAATAATACTTCGACGCCTAATCAAAGCTCGTGAAGAGCGTACTCGAGAAAACCAGGCCGGTTTTCGACCTTGACGTGGTTGTATAGATCAGATATTCACACTACGTCAGGTCCCAGAACATAGACACACGTCAAGACGCTCTACAATCGCAGTATTTCTCGATCTTAAGGCGGCATTCGACTCTGTTGATCGTTAGGTTTTGTGGCAGTGTTTGTCACTGAAAGGAGTATCAAAGAAGTACATTAACCTTATAAAAGCTCTCTACTCGAACACAACTGGTAGAGTGAGAGCTTATGGCGAACTGTCATCAGAATTGATTACATCAAGTGGTGTTCGTCAGGGCTGTCCACTCTCCCCATTCTTGTTCAACTTTGTGGTCGACGTACTTTTAGAGATAACACTCTCCTCATCTTAATTTCCGGGGGTTGAACTTCTACCGGGAGGTTCACTTGTCGACTTAGAATATGCAGATGACATAGTTTTATTTGGTGAAGACGCTGACAAAATGCAGAGTCTTCTGACCACTCTAAGCAACAATGCAAGCATGTTCGGGATGCGATTCTCTCCCTCGAAGTGCAAAATTTTGCTTCAGGATTGGGTTACATCGACACCCGAACTAGTGATAGGGAATGAAGTAGTTGAGTGTGTCGACCGCTTCACTTATCTTGGAAGTCTCATCAGCCCTTGTGGTCTGGTGTGTGACGAAATCTCAGCACGGATACAGAAGGCTCGACTAGCTTTTGCCAACGTGCGTCATTTATGGCGTAGGCGAGATATCCGTCTACCAACCAAAGGACGTGTTTACTGCGCAGCAGTTTGTTCCGTCCTACTTTATGGCAGTGAAACATGGCCGGTAAGAGTTGAGGATATTCGTAGGTTACTAGTATTTGATCATAGGTGTCTTCGAAATATTGCTCGTATATCCTGGGACCACCGAGTAAGTAACGCAGCTGTTAGGAAACGGGTACTAGGTAAGGATGGCAAAGCAATTGATGAAGTAGTGAAACTTCATCAGTTGAGATGGCTGGGACACGTGTTACGTATGCCCAATGACCGACTGCCTCGACGTGCTATATTCAGTGGTATAGGAGTAGGTTGGAAGAAAGCTAGGGGCGGCCAAACCAAAACATGGCACAAATCCATGAAGTCACTGACAAGTGAACTGAGTCATCTTGGTAGGTGTAGACTACCTGGTTGGGGACCGCGAGATGATAGCAACCGATGGTTAGAGACCTTGAATGACATGGCTCAAAATCGTTTGCAATGGCGCAGGTGCATCCACTCTCTATGTTCTTCCAAATTCTAATCTTCTGAATTCTTCTTGTCCCTTTTTTCCTCTTTCCAAATTTATTTCACTGGATTATACTCGTTAAATAACATCTCCAAACCCTAATCTTCCCGATTACTGCTTATACTCTTGCAACCTCTTCCACTACGGAATTTGAATCGACCACTGCATCTCTGTGCTAATGTGGCATGGCAACTCGAACTGATGTACGTACGTACAAAGTTCTACGTTGTTACTGACTGACTGACTGAGTTTCTCATAAATCTATGAGAGCACGACCGATTATTAGCCAAATTATCTTTATTAATGTGATCGGTCATTGACGCAAACACTTCCGTGTTTTTTTTAATCTCTCATTTTGTTACCATTTTTACGGCAGAACTGTTACTTGTTCACGATACACTCTACATCTTTTTTCATTCTTATTTGAGTATTAGCTAGACCTTCTAAAATTATTTCATATTCAACACATTCATAACACCTAATTAACAACAGTCTGTCAACCAGCTTTCACTCAACGATAAATAGTCCAATATCGAAGGATTAAGGTGCTTTGTTAAATAATAATGCCGCATTCCGACAGTTTAGTTTAAAACAATGAACGACGTCAATTTCGATCGACGTTTCTCAGTATTGAGACTTTAACAAAATGGACATTTACAACGGACTCATCATTGATTTCGGTGGTCACATAATCACGTATACACGATTCTGTTAATTGACAAGTGCAATGTTGTAACCCCTAGTGTAATTACCCATGTGTTTATTGAATGAAAACAATGACATAAATACAAAAAATTATATTTTTATATTCTACCAACAAAGTGACATCAGTCATTAAGTAAACAATCATCAATGTGATATGCAGTTCCATGAAAAAATCTTCAATGTATTGAAATAACTAACAAAATAGAAAGTGTGTTTACTAAACTACAAAATGAAAAGAACAAAGTCGACTCAATGAAAACGATTGAGAAGCTGTTTGTGGAGACTATGGATGAACTCTGTTCCTTCTGTAGAACCATAGCCAAATGCTACAGCCAATGCACAAAATAAGGAAAGATATAACTAATGGCACAACGATGTACACATATTGCAGTGATTTTCTTTTGTCAATGCTTTCAGATGTATCTGTAGTCATGTTCTGAAATGAACGAAATAATATAATGATTACAAAATATCAAATATTTATCAAATTTGATTTAGTGCTTGAATTAGTCTTCTTCAATTCAGTTCTTGCCCCCGAACGCCCTGGTACGGCCGAGAGTGGCAAGAGTCCGCTCTCCCTCTCGAAATACTCTCACACGCCCGCGCGTATACAGCCTCTGCCAGGGAAGTCCTACTCATTGCCTTCTCGTGGCGGGGGTGTTGTTTACGAAAATAAGAGGACAAAAAGCGAACGTCCGGCGCTTTAATCGGATCACAAACCAATGTTACACATGGGCTCCAGTATCCTTCGGGAACAAATGGCAAATGAACCAATCGTTGGTCAACGGCTACCATGGGATTGCATCTCCTTACGATGCTCCACTGCCTTGTGGGTTAGACCATTAGGTCAAAGGCCCGGGGTGTGGCCCCCTAAGATAACCACCATGAACTCTATGACTATGGCAACTAATTTTCTCGCTCCGATCAACATTCAATCGATTCAAATAATTATCACTATTATTGTCATTAATAATACCATTATTATTATTACCATTATTGTCATTATTATTATTATTATTATTATTATTTTCCACATTGTTCATCCTCTTTTATACTTATATAGCGGCTCGTCTTTGGTGAAAATTCGACTGTATCTAAACGTTCTCGAGTCACTGTCCGGTTGAAAATTTTATGTTACCATTGAATACGAGTACTGAAGCAGTTTTTCTGAAACCACGTGCGCCATCAAAGTGAGAAGAAATCGGCGTGAGTAACGATGTATTTTCGTCATCTCTGCCTATACCCCGACAGATTGCAGCCCGGATGCAATCAAGGATGAGTTTTACCACCAGTTATTTGTTCTTCTCCAGAAAGTGCGCTCGACAGATATTGTAGTACTAGCCGGAGACTTAAATGCTCAGGTCGGGCGTCTAGGCACAGAAGAGTCGTTAAGGTGGCCGAGGGGGACTCGTTGGTCGCAGGTCAGATAACGGGGACCGTCTACTGCAACTTTGCACAGACCACAACCTGTTTCTGGCTAGCACTAACTTTCGGCACAGTCATCGCCGATGTGCCACCTGGCGTCCTCCCTCTGCATCCCAAGCCTGGACTCAGATTGATCACATCGCGATCAGCTACCGCTAACGTGATTGTGTAAAAGACTGCCGCTCCTTTTAGAGTACCTATCTGGACTCTGACCATGCCTTGGTCTGCGCCAATCTTGCCTTACTTTTCAGTGGACAACGAAGTGACCACCACCAAAGGATTGATGTCAGCAAGTTGGTTGCAACTTCTGTTGCAAGTAAGTATCGAACCGAGCTAGTCTCTAGGCTAGCTACCACTCCACCGAAAAGTATAGATGAACATTGGTCGCAATTGCATGACGCCATGAAAATGGCGGGAACAGTCAGTTGTGGGTTTGCGAAACGTCCCGCTTTTAAGCACTGGGTTTCTTCTGGTACAACTCATTGAAGCCCGTCGGTCCACTCCGGGGTGACCGTGAGTTTGACCATAAACGAAGGATGTTACGTAAAGAATTTGGGCAAAGCTTGCGTAAGGACCGAGAAGCCTGGTGGTCGGAGCGTGCTAATGAGATGGAAGCAGCAGCTGCATCTGGTAACTACCGGAAGCTCTTTCAGCTCATCCGAGCCACTGGCAGCAAGAAGTCTGGTGTGAGCGAAACAATCTGCGAGGATTATGGGATGCCAATCACCAACATCCATCGACGTCTTGGACGATGGGCAGAATTTTTCGAAGGGTAGTTCAACTGGCCTGCTGCTCCGGCAACATCGGTTAGACTGTCCTGCCCTCCATGGCCGGTGACGACTGATCCACCAGACAAGGAGTAAGTCCGCAAGGAACTCCAACTCTTCAAGCGTTACAAATCACCTGGCCCAGATGACTTACATCCGGCTCTTTTTAAAGATGGTGGTGACTTTTTGACTAAGGAATTGACAACGTTGTTTACAAAGATTTGGGAATTAGAGAGTGTACCAACGTCATGGAATGAGTCGATAGTTGTCCCTATCTTTAAAAAAGGTTCACGTCGTTCCTGCAACAACTATCGGGGGATAAGTCTACTTCCGATTGCGTCCAAGCTATTGGCTTCCGTCATACTTCGTAGGTTGTTCAAAACCCGAGAAAGATTGACTTGCGAGGAGCAGGCTGGGTTTTGTTCTGGTCGAGGTTGTATTGATCATATCTTCACCCTCCGCCAAATGTTAGAACATCGCCATACTTATCAAAGGTCAACAATCGTAGTGTTTCTTGACATCAGGGCTGCCTTCGATTTGTTGGACAGGACTGTTCTCTGGGATTGTCTATTGAAGAAGGGTGTGCCTGAGAAGTTTATAAACATCCTGAAAGCCCTATATAAAAGCACCTCAGGCAGAGTGAGGGCATACAACCACCTCTCTCCATTGTTCCATTCGAGTAGTGGGGTTAGGCAGGGTTGCACAATCTCACCATTCCTCTTCAACTTTGCCATCGATGACATTCTGGAAACAGCTCTGATGAATGTAAGTAATGGTGGTGTGGATCTGTTGCCTGGAGAAAGACTTCTTGACCTTGAGTATGCGGACGATATTGTCTTACTGTACGATAATGCCCAAGGCATGCAATCCGCACTTAATCAGTTGGCAATCAGTGTCCGTAGGTACGGTATGTGCTTTGCACCTTCGAAGTGCAAAGTAATTCTACAAGACTGGCAGGATTCCAATCCTGTACTCACCCTGGATGATGAGCAGATAGACGTACTCGAGAAGTTCGTGTATCTGGGTAGCTGCATAAGTGCTGGTGGGGGTGTGAGTGATGAGATAAATGCACGTATAGTGAAAGCCAGAGTGGCTTATGCTAATCTGGGCCATCTTTGGCGCCTTCGTGATGTTAGTCTGGCTGTAAAAGGTCGGATCTACAACGCGTCGGTGAAAGCAGTTTTGCTTTATGCTTGTGAAACCTGGCCTCTCCGAGTTGAGGATGTTAGACGACTCTCCGTGTTTGATCATCGCTGTCTCCGAAGGATTGCTGACATTCGGTAGCAACACCATGTTAGTAATGCAGAGGTTCCGCATCGTGTGTTCGGGCACAGAGATGATAATGCAATTAGTATCACCATCTTGAAACACCGACTTCAGTGGCTTGGACATGTTCTACGAATGTCGTCCCAGAGAATTCCACATCGTGCATTATTTACCGACTCTGGGACTGGTTGGAAAAAGCGGAGAGGTGGTCAGTGCATGACATTGTGTCGTGGTATGAAAGAAAGCTGCAAAGGACTGGCTTCTGTTGGTCCTTCACGACTCCCTGGTTGGGGTCTGTAGATGGTGCTACACAGTGGCTAGAGACGTTATCAGATATGGCTCAGAATAGAAGCCAGTGGCGATCCTGCTGTAACATTCTTTTACTTTTTTCATAAAAAGTGGTTGTGTCTCCCTTATTTGAAAGATTTCTTCTGATTGTACCTTTCTGTTCCATCGTTACGACCACACTACCTTTTGTGGTGCTTAGTTTTTTTTTCTATCTCTCTTCGAATTTTCATTGTTTTGTGTGGCGCATATATATTGGCGCTCTCTTGTACCAATATTTATGTGTTCAAATAAATAAATAAATAAATAATTCAGTTCTTAGATCAGTTTCAGCAGTTGCTAGAGTTGTTGTATCTGTAGTCATGTTCTGAAATGAACGAAATAGTATAAAGATCACAAAATATCAAATATTTACCAAATGTGATTCAGTACTTGAACTTGTCTTTTTCAATTCATTTCTTAGATCAGTTTCAGTAGTTGCAGGAGTTGTTGTATCTGTAGTCATGTTCTGAAATGAACGAAATAGTATAAAGATTACAAAATATCAAATATTTACCAAATGTGATTCAGTGCCTCCACTAGTCTTCTTCAAATCAGTTTCAGTAGTTGTTAGAGTTGTTGGTTCAGTGGCAACGTTGACAGTCGAGCTCTTAAGAAGAAAGAAACAGTGGCAAAATAATCAAATATCAAATATTTCAACATTCCTTCTACACCATTGTCAGTATGGATGACAGAAGTGAATTCAACAATTAGTTACATAATTTACATTTGCACAATATAATCAATGAATATTGATTTCGGATATCTGCTACTGACTTAACAGTCAATGTGATGAGCACACACATTATCCTACAACTAAATGACAACTTATTTGTGTGATGAAATTTGTTTCTTGGATGTTTCATGTTATCTCAATGTAACTAACTGACGGCTTTATTGAAGCAATCCATCCAGAACACACGTTTCTCAACAAAGTATCAGGAATATCTGTTCTGAAATTCAACAATGGGAGTTAACGAACTTTCACTTTCCAAACATGATGCAGAATTTATAACAGATTATGTTTCATCATTCGGAATTGAGTAACAATTCACACATACAGACGGTTTCATATTGGACGTCGAGAATCACTACACATTCTATGAGTAGAAAAATTAACATTTCTTCAAGCAGACGTGTTAAACGACGCTTCTGTTGATTGTTGAATGTCCACATGGAAACAAAGCAGCGAACTCATATTTGATTAAACATCGTCAACGTATACAATACCTTGATTTATGCACTAAGAGAAGAATACAAATCACTAAATATTCGTAGCAATTAAACATTCTTCCGAGTAAATAGATTCACAATGTAGAATATGGTAATATTGAAAACAATCTGTGAAGTTTATCAATTACTTACTTTATTCTTGCAACCATTTACTTTGAATTCATGAAGATCCTTATCATTGCTGGTGATGCACATATTGGATGTTTCACACCAAATGCACGTTGTATCTGGTATTGTTGCGCCGTGACATGCTTCACTCGAAACGTATTTTGGACAATCTTCAGTGGGAAGAATGATGTGATTGCATAACAAGTTATCAAACAAAAGATAGGTGAATTACAAAACATTAAACTATAAGTCCGTGATATAATGATGATTTCAAAATTAGGAGACTATTTCATTCACTAGGAATTTGTGATCACCTCGCGCAATGCAAAATACAGCACACTTCCATTGGCATTCACATTGCATGACAATATTTTGGCTTTGAATGAAAATACATCCATAGTGAATAGCATTTTATTCGACGAACATGAAAGACAATCTAAACATTACATTACGGAATGATTCTCTCAGTTTTCGAGATGGTATTTAATACCCTACCACATGATAAGCTGGAAATTCTTTCTGATTACTCAATGTATATATTCATGAGAAAGAGAACTCGTTCATACTATGTCATTCACATTTCAGGACAACACCTCGGAACTGAATGAAACTAAGTTGAATGTTTAACGATGAGTATTGACGTGCGGATTTGGTAGATTTTGATGACTGATTGCATTCAAAAATGTATACACTATGCTGTCATCTGGCTCAACCAAGCCCACTACATTTGATTCCTAACACATTTTGCGTTTCATTCATTGCTATCAGTCTGATGAAGAAAACGTGTCTTGTATACCATGTCAACATATGAAAACTGGTAAATAGCATTGTAAGCTCATTCACATTGACTATTTTGAAATCCGTGCAAGAAAGTCAGTTGTCCCCAGTTAATAAATTCACTTATAATTATGTTGATTCAA